GCCTCCTCGTCCATTGGGTTCATCTTTATTTGATTGTATCCTGAGTATGCATCCATAAAGTTTAGCATATGATGTCCAGACACGGTATCGAAGATTTGGTCTATGCGCGAGAGGGGAAAACTATCCTTCGGGCAAGCTTTATTGAGGTCTTTATAGTCGACAAATATTCTACATGAACCATTAGTTTTTTTCACCATGATGATATTGGCCAGCCATGCAGGATGATGTACTTCTCATATGGACGTTATTTCAAGAAGCTTGCTGACTTCTTGTTCATTAGCTTGTAAGCGATCTGGGGCAAAATTGCGCTTCTTCTGGATGACCGGTTTAAAGGTATGGTCTACCTTTAAAAAGTGCATGATTATTTCAGGGTCAACTCCAGACACGTCGACCAGAGTCCATGTAAAAATGTCTTGATTCCTTTAGAGAAGATCTACATACTTCGACCTTTGCTCATCAGAGAGTAGTGAACCAAGGTGCATTGTTCTCGAGGGACGTTCGTCAGAGAGTGAGATTTAAACCAAGTCTTCCATGGGAGAAGCCCGTTGAGATACATCTTCATCTCGAAGATTGAAATTCTTAATGCTAAGTGTCATTGACGGGTGTGACTGAGCTTGTTTGAGGTAGCATGATTGTGTTGTCTGTTGATCATCTCGCACAACGTCAATCTCTGTTGAGGTTGGAAACTTGATCTTCAAGTGTGTTACAGAAGTCACGATGCCAAAGATTGATTGTAGTGGTCTCCCGAAGATGGCATTATATGTCGATTCTGATTTGACAATGATGATCTTGACTGAGTGGGTTATATGTCGAGAAAAATTTTCCAAGACAACATGGAGATTTATTGTTCCCTCAACCCTCATTGGTCGATTATACCATATAATGGTCCGGATGCAGGTTGAAGTTTTTCCTTTGTCAATCCCAAACTAAGGAAAGTTGAATAGAACAAGACATCGACAGTGCTCCCATTGTCGACCAGGATCCTCTTTACGTTATATGAGGGCTCGACAATCTTGCGCTAATGACGAGAGGATCTCGGTAGGGGACTTGAACTCCTAAGTCAAAATCATCAAAAGTGATAGGCTCAGGGCACAATTTCTTATGCATTGGTTCATCAGGTACAGTGATAAGAACTTGATCAGTTAGCAATGGGCCTCCAACAATTGTTTGAATTCCGCCCCATGTTGCTGCCTTTGTGTATTTTGCCCCCCAGTAGGAGCATTATCGGTACCGGCTAGTTTATTTTGTACAAATCGACCAAGATATCACTATTTAATTAACCTTTCAATCTCTTCTTTGAGCTGCTTACACGCTTCAGTGGAGTGGCCACGACTTCGATGAAAATGACAGTATTGTTCTTGATTCCTTGAGTTAGGTTTTATGGGGAACTTAACAACTTGCTCATCTTTGATGGCCATTAAGACGTTAACACATGATGTGTTGAGCGGTGTATATTCTTTCTTAGGTCGATAATCACTCCGCTGCCCTGCAGGTTAAGGAAGGAGGTCGCGATTCCTTTGTTGTTCGGACTTTCTCCATTGTGAAGGTTTATTATTATCTCCAGTGTTATTATTGCATTTTCCCCTAAATTTCTCGAACTTCTCTTTATGTGGGTTGATGGCCTCATCCGCAGTGATTTGAGCCTCAACACAGTGGATAAGGTTAACATAAGAACAAACTGTCTCCCGCATCAGTGATAACTAAAAAGGTCCTGGGCAGAACCCCCCAAGGAAGAGTCCCCTTAGTAACTCCGGATCCACCCTCGGAATCTGACGGGCTTCAGCAGAAAACCTGCGAAAGTAGTCATTGAGCGACTCTCCTTCACTTTGATAAATATCCGAGAGATGGATGAATCCTTGATGATCCTTGGATTTGTGATGAATTACTCCGCGAACAGTGTGACAAGCTTGTTAAAGGTGTTTACAGTATCCCTTGGCAGAAAGTAGAACCAGGTTTGAGCTTGTCCTGTAAGAGTAGGCGGGAACACTTAACACAGAAGCACATCAGAGGCACACTGAATAATGATCAATATGCTCGTATGGGTCTCAATATGTTTGTAGGGGTCGGTTATCCCTTCATATGTATCAATGTTCGGAAGCTTGACGCATGTTGGGATGAGGTTTTGGAGGACTGCATCCTCTAAGGAACAAGATTTATAGATGTTACAGTGAGCGTAGAAGCATCCTTTTTCTCTAAGGGGAACTCTTCCCGGACAAGGTGTCGTAGTTCATTAAGAATGACATTATTTAGAATGACAGAAAAATGTGGTGATGTCGAGTGATCTGCATGAGATGGATGAGTGAAACTTGCGGTATCTAGGAGTTCAACATCACGACCTGATAGGGGATGTGTTCCTTCTTGAGGAGGCGGGGCTGTACGAGTTCCTCCGAGCAATATGTTTCTTATATGTCGTGGAGTTAATAGTAAACAAATTTCATCCAATGGTGCAGACAGCGGTTGTTGAGCCCCACGCAGGAGCTATAAGATCTCTAGTTGAGACTCCTCCAGTCTATACATTCAATCTTCTATTAAAGAACCCAAAACACCTTCATTGGTGGAATAGCGTCTTCCAGGGCGGGAAGATGAAGAAGCGTGCCGCCCTTGGCTACGTGACTGCTCCCTCGAACGATGGGTGTTGGAGCAGGATGATTTGTTGTCACGAACATTGTGTCTGGTGGCCATGTAGTTAACCGCGTAAGTATTTTAGTTGTGGGATCAAAATTTTCCCGCATACGGCGCCAAACTGATGCATGCTGGAAAATTTGCGACGGTAGAGTAATGGATTATCGTCTTAGCGTTGCACGATGATTCAAAACACACTCAGATGAAAAGGGAAACAACCTGTGATGACACCAGAAGGTTTTACATGGAAAACCCGTAAAGGGAAAAGATCACGGGGCCTGAGCCAATTGTAAAAATCCACTATAGGTTGATGATTGCAGAGGCCCCTTGTCCCACAGAAGGGAAATAGTTACTAGTTTTCTAAATTACAACGTCAACTGACAGCGTCTAGTCAATGATGGTCGACGGTGATCGACGGTAGTCAACGACAATTGATGAAGATCGATGGTGGTCGACGAGAGTCGATAACGATTGATGGTGGTCGACGGAGGTCAGCAGTGGTCTACGGTGGCCGGCGGTGGTCGCTAACGGTCGGTGGTCTTTGACGATCGAGGATGACATAGATGATGTTGGACTTGAGCTTCTTCTCAAAGTCTCAAGTTCTCTCTAGCCCCCTCCCTCGTGTGAGGGGCGAGCATCTATTTATAGTGTTCTGGGTGCAATTAATGCATAAATACGAACCATTTTGATCGGACGGTTCGGAGAGCTTCCCTCAATCAAATGACATTTGATGGACATTTGAGTGTTTTAACAATGTCAGAATTAAGTAATCTTAGGCTCATTAAATTCGTTTTGTCGAGACGCTCGATTCATATATGAACTCGCTAGATTCGACATCCGTTTGATCTTCCAAATGCCTCTGGAAATCCTATAAGAGTGATTTAACGATTTGATCTAGACTTAATCTGACTCAGATTGAACTAATTTTTATATCATTAATTCCGTCTCATCGAGCCGATCAGTTTGACTATAAATTTACTGAAATCGAAGCTCTTGATTACTTCTTATCAAGATTTAAATATTTCTTGCTCAAAATATTGCTTAAAGAATCGTGTCGGATGATGAAAATTTGTTGGTGGAGTATCACTGACATAGATATGTTAACTTAAAATTTAAGTGTCATATATATAAATAAATAGGAATTAAGTGGCATGCATGCAAATCTTCCACACATTTATCAAAATTTTTAATTATATGATACAACATTAACAACAAAGCCAGTAATACATTAGTCAAAACAAACCAAAAATATCAACCAAAAGTTTGTGACTCAATAAAATTTATTCTAATAATTAGCCATACTATTTTTAAAATTTAAAAAAAAAACCCATAAAATTATATCAATTTTCTATTTTCACATGGAAAATGGCCGTAGCAGAAGCAAACCTACTCTAAAGATACAAGCCTCTGTCAATTGAAAAATGTGAAAATTATATATTTAAAAAAAAAAAGGGGACATTTACATACATACCACACAATTCCTATGCATTTACATATCTAAAACCTAAACTTTCATATTCACACATACAACATCCAAATCTTTTTAACATCACATAAAAAAGTATCATTATTACAAATTACTTAACGAAAAAATATTACAACAAGACGGATTGCAATAGTTAAGAATATTCCGCCGTGTTATAAGAATATTTCATCTGCGTTATTTGTAAAAAATGAAGTGTTATTCGAGTATTATATGATATTATTCGATTATTTTGCGATGTTATTTGAATATTCTCAAGCGTTAATTTCGTGTTATTTCAATTTCAACTATGTTATTGGAATAACACAACCCCAAATCAAGTAACGCGAGTGAATATTCCAGGAACACTTCAGCCCCAAAGCATGTAACACGGAAGAATATTCCAATAACATCATATAATACTCGAATAACACAGATAAAATATTCCTGTAACACAGCAGGATATTCCTAACTATTGCAATTCGAACGCAACTCTACGTTCGGAGTCCTGATGTAATATTTTTCCTTAACTTAAAAAAAGAAAATGAAATATACCTTTCATGCACAAAGTGTTATTAATATAAATGGACATTTACCTATTTACCTACCACTCAATCCCTTGCATTTAATATTTCACATCACATTACAAAATATCAATATTTTAACCTTCAGAAAGTACATATATGCAAAAATTAAAATGTAGGGGTTAGATAATGTAAATGCCAAGAAATTAAGTGATATGCATATAAATCTTCCAAAAAAGAGAGAGAGAGAGAATGATGCCCAAAAAAGAAGAAATCTTACAGTGAAAAAAAATGATAAATGAGGAAGGTTCAGGGCACAACATGATAAATATTTAGCCAAAATAAGTTTTAAAAACATTAGATTTTTGGTTTAAATTTAGAATAATATATGCTTAAGCAATCAAAATTTATATTGTATACAGCTGACAATAAATTAAATTCTAAGAAGAAGAAGAATCTGACTCCTTATTCTTCCAATGGATTGTTGATCTCACTTGCGAGCCTCCAGCTTTTTCTGCTCTTTAGCTGGGAAAATATAAACGTGGAATAAAAAACCACATCAGAAGTATGAATAAACTGGACATAAATGTAAAGAAGAAGAAAGTGGATTCAAAATGTTGCAAGAGATTGAAAATCAATGGTTTTGGGCTGATTTGATTGGTGCAACAGAGGCAAAATGTTAAATTATTACTAAAACAAAGGTAATAAAAAGGATAATTATATACAAAACACTAAAAATATTGTTATCTATTAAATTAGCACTCTGTGATGTTTTTGAACAAAGCCGATGCATTTATGCATGCCACTATCAAAACCATTGAGAGTTTGATAGAAACGAAAAATATGGGTTTGGGTTTAATTGTAACTATGGGTGATCAAATTATTAAAAGGTGTAAATTATTAAAAGGTGTGAAAGTTTTAAATATCTCGGGTCTATTGTTCAAAGTGATGGTGATATAGATGAAGATGTTATTCATATAATTCACGTTGGTTGGTTGAAGTGGAGGAATGCATAGGGCCTATTGTGTGATAGAAAAGTACCGCTAAAACTGAAAGGGGAATTTTAGAGGATAGGGATAAAATCTGTAATGCTCTATGGCGCTGAATCTTGGCTTTTAAAAGAGAAGCCTAAAATAAAGTTAAGTGTTGCCGAGATGAGAATGCTTAGGTGGACGAGTGGCTTGACACTTTAAGAGACAATATGCGAAATGAATATCTGTGATAGGGTTGGTGTAGTTCAATGGCGAACAAGATTAAAAAGAATCGTTTTAGATGGTTTGGTCACATTAAACGTCGACCATTTGATGATCCGGTTAGGAGAGTAGATGTTTTAGATTCAACTTATGTTAAGAAAGACAGAGGTAGACCTAAAAGGATTTGAGCGTGTTATATAAAGAATGATCTTTATTTAATAGATTTAAAGGAAAATATGACAATCAATAGGACGCAATGGAGAAAAAGTATTCATGCAACCGACCCCACTTAGTGGGATAAATGCTTGTTGTTGTTGTTGTTTAATTGTTATTTTTGATATTTGAGTGAGAATTTGAAAAATGGATGAAAAATGATGCAACATTTTCAAATAGCAATGTTTCAAGTGCTATGTATGCAATTGCTCCTAAAAAAATGATAATTCCTATAAATTATGGTCGACAATTGAATTAATTTCTTCATGGATTGAGCTATTATGGAGAATTACATACACAACACAGAAAAATATTGCTATTTAACTGACATTCAGGTAATTTTTTGAACACATTTACACTTTCCACAATCAAATCATTGAGAAGTTGATATTAGTGAAAATATAATTTAGAGCTTTATAGTGAATTTTGATATTTAAGTAAGAACTTGAAAAATA